CCCGGGCACATGCTTCCTCGTCACAGATTTCTTGGATCTGGGATCCTCGGCCCCGGGCGGATCGGGCATGTCGCTGGCCGCGAAGCTCGCCAAGATGCACACGACCCCGGCGCCCGTCCCGGAGGGATTCGACAGGCCCATGTACGGCTTTCCTGTGAGCACCTGCTGCGGCTCGACGCCACAGGAGAACGCGTGGAAGGAGACGTGGGCCGAGTTCTATGCCGAGAACCGGCTGCGCGGCGTTTTGCGCGCAGGGATCAGGAGGAACGGCGCAGATGGAGAGTTGTCGGAGGTCGTGGAGACCGTTGCGAGCCGGGTTGTTCCGCGGTTGATCAGCGAGGACCGCATCAAGGGGATCAAGCCGGTGGTGATCCACGGGGATCTATGGAGCGGAAACCACGGCCGTGGCCAGATTGCGGGTAAGGGCGGCGCGGAGGAGGTTGTCTACGATTCGTCGGCCGTGTATGGGCATGCCGAGTACGAACTGGGCATCATGAAGATGTTTGGCGGCTTTGGGAGTAGTTTCTGGAACGAATATAATAAACTGGTGCCAAAGGCGGAGCCAGTTGAAGAGTGGGATGATCGACTTGCACTTTACGAGTTGTAAGTCCACTCCCTCGCGTCGCTTCGAGCTTTCGCCCACTTGCTTGAAGGGGGGGTTGCCATGGTGATTTGCCCCGCTAACTTGTAGGTGTCGCAGATATCACCACCTCAACCATTATGCGTTATTTGGTGGAGGATACCGCGGAGGCGCCATGGGGATCATGAAGAAGCTGATTTCAAAGTATGGCTGAATCAATTGAAGTTTATCAGTATTACCATGACGTTGGGAAGATTGGTTTGTGCTTGAGGAATTCCACATTAAAGCCGGCCCGCGCCGGTGGGAACCATGAACTTTGTATTAGCGGCCAACCGAAATGACTGAGAGCTCTTAGTTTCAGGGACGGCAGCACTGGATGGACACAGTCGTCTCCGTTGAATAGAAATCGTAGTCAGGAGCCTCACATCGTATCTCATTACCCACACAATTCACAATGACTGGTCCGCTATTCGACGGAGATACCTCACATGTCGTGGTCACGTCGTCTGATGTTTTCGAGGGGATTTTGGAGAGATACCAGGATTCACATGCCAGGGGTTGCCCTGAGACCGAGCCTCCAATCACTAGGTGACTGGCCACTCGTTAGGAACTTGGGGGAGGGAAACAGCACGGACCAACCATTCATCCGGCGCAACTGCACACTTTCCCACAGTGGAGGGCAGTAAAGCCAGGTGGGAAAGGCAAGATTAACGGCCCATGACAGGGGAATTTGATCACAAGGGTCGATGTGGTCACTTCCTCTCCCAGCTGCCAACTCCCATTAGCACGCACTGCACTTTCGCCCCTGTTGCTACATTGCACCCGAACAACGTTTGGCTTGCTCTCCCGTTCCTTTTCTTCCTCTTCTTTCTTACCTATTTCTGGAAAACGACAATGACCGAATAAACCCTACGAGACTTGCCCCTCCACATTATTTGCTTCACTCGTCGCTGCAACCATGAACGGCCACTTTGCTGCTGTCGGCGAAGAGCCGGATGCCCAGAACTACGAGCATGGCATCCAGGTCATTGACGATCAGAAGGACTTCAAGTACGATACAATCTCCCCCGCCTCAACGAACCGACGATGATCAACGGCTAACTGACTACTGTACAGCTCCCATGTCGCAACATATTTGCAAAAAGTGCGCGTCGCCGAGGCGGGGTTCAACTACCACCTCATCTCCGTCTTCGGCTCCCAATCCACCGGCAAGTCGACGCTGCTAAACAACCTCTTTGGTACCGACTTCTCCGTCATGTCCGAGACGATGCGCCAGCAGACTACCAAGGGAATATGGATGTCCAAGAACAAGAAGGAATCCGGCATGGCCGAGAATATCATCGTTATGGATGTTGAGGGGACTGATGGACGCGAGCGTGGCGAAGACCAGGATTTTGAGAGAAAGAGCGCTCTGTTCGCACTGGCAACTAGCGAAGTCTTGATTGTCAACCTCTGGGAGACACAGGTCGGCCTGTACAATGGTGCCAACATGGGCCTACTCAAAACCGTCTTTGAGGTCAACCTACAGCTCTTCCTCAAAGACAAGCAGTAAGTCGCCCTGTGCGTGGGCAACCCCGCCGCTCGCTAACAGCCTACACAGGTCGAGCTTGAGATCACTCCTCTTCTTCGTAATCCGAGACCACCTTGGCACGACGCCCCTTGCGAACCTGCGCAACACCCTGGTCCAGGACCTAACTAAGATCTGGTCCTCCATCTCCAAGCCGCAGGGCCTCGAAAATTCGCGCATCGAGGACTATTTCGACTTCGCCTTTGCCGCCCTCCCCCACAAGATCCTGCAGGCTGATAAGTTCACTACCGAGATCCAGAACCTGGGGAGGAGGTTCACTGCGGGGCACCGCACGAGTGGGGCCAGCACTCAGGAGTTCGATGGCGGTGTGTTCCTCCCCGAGTACCACCGACGCATTCCCGCCGACGGCTTTTCGCTCTACGCTGAGGGCATCTGGGATCAGATTGTCAACAACAAGGACCTGGACTTGCCGACACAGCAAGAGCTGCTTGCGCAATTCCGTTGCGATGAGATCTCGAGGGAGGTCCTGATTGGTTTCGATACTGCCGTTGTACCGCTCGAGGAGAAGCAGTCCGAATCTGCCAGAGCCGGTAAGCCCGCGGTACTGGCCGATCTGGGTGTGACGGGACGCGAATCTCGTGAGAAGTGTCTCAAGGCATTCGAGATTCAGGCCAGCAGGTATCACAAGGGTGTTTACTCGCGCAAGCGCCAAGACTTGGAAGCTAAGATCGACGGCCGCCTCAAGACGCTTTACAACGCACAGTTGTCCGCCGCTCACAAGGCCGCCATTGCTTCCTTCAGTGAGCACGTTTCGGGTGCTGTCAAGGCTGGCCAAAAGTCCGGCGCGGCCTACGAATTTGCCGAGATCGTTACCGAGGAGAAGAAGAAGACGCTCGAGTTCTTCAAGACCGAAGCTGAGAGCCTCGCCATCCCTGGCGTCGCTTGGTCCAACTTCAAGTCACAGTATGTGTTGTTTGAGAAGGAGTTGGACGACGTGAGCGGTAAGCTGCGCAAGGAAGAGATGCGCCGGTTGGCCACGAGGGTGGAGCGATGGGTCAAGTCCCGCTTGGGCGATGCGATTGGCCTCGAATTCAACAAGCTCGGCTCCGGTAGAGCTGGATCCGGCGCCCCCGAGACTGGCGAGAAGCCTGCGGAGAAGGATCTTTGGGATCGTATCTGGACCGTGTTTGTCGATATCGTCAAGGACGCACAGGGCAGGTTCACCGACCGTGCCAAGAGCTTCGAAGCTACCCAGGATGAGGTCGAAGTTGGTCTCTGGCGCCTCAGGCGCAAGAGTTGGGTCGCCCTGCGCGAGAAGATTGAGGAAGAGGTCATGGAGGGCAACATTCTGTTGAAGCTGAGAGAAAACTTTGAGGACAAGTTCAGATACGACGAGGCCGGCGTACCGAGAATCTGGAGACCTACTGACGACATCGAGGGCATCTACACCAAGGCAAGAGAGTCGACGCTGACGCTCATCCCATTGTTATCAAAGTTCAAGCTTTCGGATAGCTACGGACCTCCTGAGTTGCCTGCCTGGATTGGAAATCAACCCCGTGGGGTTGAGCCCAGCGACGAGGAAGACTTGACACCGATTGGCGGTGTCGATGAGGAGGATGGCAAGAGCCTCGAGGAGGAGATGACTGTTCTCAGCGAGAGCAAGCGTCAAGACCTCGTCATCCGGTTCAAGAAGACCGCGGACGGTGTCTACGTCGAGGCCAAGCGTAGTGCCATTGGCGGTGTCGCACAGGTACCCCTGTACTTCTATGCTCTGCTGGTGGCTCTTGGATGGAACGAGATCGTTGCTGGTGAGTTGTGTCTCTCTATTGTGATGTGTGTCGAACCGAATACTAACTTACGACAGTCCTGCGCAACCCGTTCCTCTTCGTCTTCCTCATCATGCTCGCCGGAGGTACTTACGTCGCGTATACGCTCAACATGCTCGGGCCCATGTACCAGATGGCCAACGCGGCCGCCAACCAGGGTGTCGAAATTGGCAAGGCGAAGCTGCGCGAGTTCATTGAGAACTCGGACACGGCGCGGCAGGCGCTCGCCATGCCCGCACGCGATAGCGATTCCATTAGCATGGACACGCTCGATAGCCGGGGCAAGAAGAAGAGCGCTGAGGATGATATTGATGACATTTAGACCTTTGTCTCCCTCGTACGCGCGCGCGTGTTTGTGTGTTTAGGTTAAGGTAGTTAGTTGTGAACAGCTGAAAATGAGGCTGCGTTCCAGACGGCCGATAGAGCGAGGGAAGAAGGGGTTTTATGAATAGGGAGGCAAAGGATATAATGTCTATAAGATACGTTTTTCAATTTTGATGAAGTGCCATGTGACACCCGTGTAAGCCCATGAATTTGCTCGCACGATATCGTCAGCCTTGATTTTCATATGAAAGGATTTAACACAAGATGATGAAACGAAGTAACCTGCGCATCCACGGCTTCTGGTTTCACATGTTTGCTATACATCACCAAGTCCATTCATAAAGTACACTGTTGCAATGGCAAGTTTATCACAGAAAACGGGATCCAATACTCAAGAAACGCGACTTCGTGGATATTGATTGATGCAATTATAAACCTCCCTTCAAAAACACAAAAAAACAGCCGCTACTCCTCATGATAGTCCTCCCACTCGCTCATCCCGGACCACAGCGCAAGCTCTCCCCTCGGTTTAAGAAAGTCCTGTTCTTGGACCCAAAAGGGAAACCCTCATCCAACAGCTCGAAACCGAATCCAAACGGGCTACCTCTTGAGCCACTTTTCAGAGGGAGAAAGAGAAGACGGGATATCTCGCAAAACACACTGCCGACAGCCAAACAACTAAAAGAAACCTAACAGACGAGCCGATGTAGATCCGCCGTCTCTATCATCCCTAAATCGACTTTCAGCCTATAGTCGTATCCTGGGAGAAATTGGCCCCCGCATTGCTCATCTCGCAACCCTGAGCAAAGAAGATGCGAGCTGGGTTTTCGTAGTCGTTGTGGATACTGTAATAGTTCCCTGCACGACAGTCAGTAAATCATTCCTACTCGAGACGCAGACAGGAACGGCTTACCTCTTGGCACAAACCACATGCCACCGGCGCTTATTCTAAACTGGGACTCGTGTACCGTAACCAAGACCTTGCCTTGGAAGACGAAAAACACCATCTGCATCTTACGCGAGTTTTTCGGCCGCTTTTCTGCGCCGGGCGGGAGGTCGACGACGCCCGAGCCGAAGAACGGCAAGCTGAGGGTCTTTGCGAAGCGAAACGTGGCGTCCCGAATGTCCCTCGTCTGGATGGCGCCCGCGGCGACGGCGATCCGCTCCTCGTCGATCTCGACCTGCTCGTTGATAGCGGGCGGGTTGAACTCGTGCTCCGGCTGCCAGACCACAATTTCGCCGTCGACGCTGCCCGGGTCCTGCTCCCATGGTTCCGCCGGCTCTTCGTCCTCGGATTCGACCTGCTGTCGCCGTCTGCCTGCCTTGGCAGTAGGCCTGCGGCCTCTTGGCCTGCCCTTCCTCGCAGCCTCCCGCTCCTCTTCCTCCACGCGGACGACCTCCTTGACGCTCGGCAGGAGAAATTTGTTGCCCTTCTTTCCATCTTCGAAAGCCTCGTCCTCGTCGTAGGTGACGTGCTCGTTCTTCCAGAACGCCAACGGCTTGTAGGACTGGCGACCGGATCTCGTGTGGGTGATGGAATGGGGGTCCTGCTTCTGCTTTTGCGATACCAGACCGCGCGCTTTAGGCATGGGCGGCCCCTTTTGCACCACGCCCAGAATCGAGTCCTCGCCCGCTGCGGCTTGCGGCTTGCGTCCTGGCCTGCCTTTGGGTCCTGGTTTGGCTTTTGAGGCGGCCTTGGCCGTCTGCTTCGATGATTCCCCCTCTTCCTCCTGGGGCGCAGCTTTCGGCCGCCCCCTTGCTCCGCCCGTTGCCTTCTTTGGTTCTTTCCGCTGTCGTTTGGATGCGCGATCGTCTTCCTCTTCTTGCTCCGCCTTGTCTCCATCGGAATTACGCGAGCGTCGTCGTTTGGGCGCGCTGACCTCTTCCGCCTCAGGCTCAGGTTCGTCTGACTGGGTCTTCTCCTTGCCCTTGCCCTTGGCTGGCCTGCCTCTCCTCTTAACAGGCGCTTCTTCTGGCTCGGACTCACGGTTTGACTGTTCCTCTGCCTCTTCCTGGATAGCTGGCTTCGCCTTTGGTGGGCGGCCTTTGCGCTTGGTAGGCTGCTTCGGAGCCTCCGCTTCTGAAATTTCCTCTGTTTCCGATGCTGCTGGCTCAGATTCGGGTTCTGGCACTTGACCGTCGTCCATGCTGACCATTTGCATCGACTCCTCCTCCCCGTTTTCGACATGGCCATTTTGCGCCTGTAGCACAGCCTCCTCTTCTTCTTCTTCGTCTTCGGAAGAGACTGCGCGTCCACTCTTGAATCCGTTGGGACGTTTACCGTTCAACCCGGGTCCGTTTTTCTCCAGGGCGCCGTAGTCAAGTTTGCGTGAAACTGGAGCTCCGCGAGTTGGCTGAGGTTCTATCGGCGACGATGATCTCCGCTGGGGTGACAGCCGTGTCGGTGATGAGGAAGGGCCGAAGCTCGGGTGGCGCATCGCAGGTGATCCGAGGTTTGTCTTGCGCGGGGAGGTCCCTCGGGGAACGAGCCGAGGGTGGTTCTTCATAATGGTGGAAGGCCCGGGACCGGATTCTAATAAGGAGCTTCGTCAGAAAACGAGCGATATTGCACGATCTCAGTAGGGCTTACCCGACTCCAGCTCCATGTCCTGTTCTCCATCGTCGCTGGCGGATCCATTGTCCTTCTCCGGTGAGGAGAAAAGGCCATCGATGGGTTGCATGCCATGTTCGTCGCGTACGCCCGTGTCGGGCAATTCAATGCCAGTCTTGCTGTTGGGATGTCAGTCTAACAAGTCCATATACAAATCCGAGCTTGCGATCCACGCCAGCCCGAGAGAAGGAGTGCGCGACGCACCGTCCTTTCACACCAAGCTCATGGAAATCGCCTGTGGAGGTCTCGCGACGACGGACGTTACTCTGTCGCGGCGGTGCCATTGCGAATGTGTAGTTGTGAAATGGTCCGGTTCGAGAAATTTGATTAAAATTCGAGATGGAGCATCCCGATCTGGGTCTTCAGCACGAGTGACTCGGGTGAGAATGAAGGGACGTCGTGGACCAGATCGTGGCCGTGTTTATCTTGGGGTGAGGTGTTGTTGGGGAGGTTGACCGCGCGCAACTTTTTGGTTGGCAAGTAAATTGACGACGCGCGCTGGACACACCTGTGTCGATGGACTTTCAGTGGCCGGGGCCTGCTGCAAATCGGGGTTGACAGGGGCAGGTACTTGTGGACTTGGCGCCCCTGCTCAACGCGTCCCCATTAATCTAGACGCGTCGAGGGGCTAGCCAACAAGATTTCCCGGTCCTAAGTTCAAGTCACTTTGAGTGAACAATTGACCTTGGTTTTCACAGTCTCAACTATTTTGGTATTCAGCTCGGAGTTTGGCAAAGACGTGTTGCACTTAATTCTCAAAAGATACCCATACGACAACATACCGTCCATACGACACTGCTCTTTTACCTTATAAGCGATACCTAGGGCGAATCCAGATTGCTCTCAACTCATCTCCAGTTCACCACTCACAATGGAAGACTCTCCAATGGTCGAGGATATCGCTCTCGAGACTCCAGTCCCGGGTGCCTTTGTTCCCCCTTCTATCAACGAAAAGGCCATTCTCTCGGGCGACTCCTACACATACTTCTCCCCAGTTCCCTCAACACTTCTCCCCCCAGCCTCATCGACAAAAACCAGCACACCTGACGAATCAGATTCACCGGCAGCGTCCGGCACTCCAGTCTGCTTAGGTGTCGATGAAGCCGGCCGCGGACCGGTCTTGGGACCCATGGTGTATGGTGTCTTTTACCTACCCATTCCCCTCTCGGACCCCTTACTCCGTGAGACCCATCACTTTGACGACTCCAAAGTGCTCACACCGGCCGTCCGCTCACAACTCATGACGGCTCTGTGTACGCCGGGCTCCGACCTGGCCGAGACTTGCGGCTTCGCCATCTCAGCACTCAGTGCCCGCGACATCTCATCAGGCATGATGCGCCCGGGAGCCAACTACAACCTCAACGCCCAGGCCATGGACGCCACCGTTGACTTGATCAAGGGCGTCTTTGCGCAGGGCGTCAACATCCAGGAGATTTACGTCGATACCGTCGGTCAGCCCGCCGCCTACCAAGCCAAGCTCCAGCGCTTCTTTCCCGCAACAAAGATTACAGTCGCGAAGAAGGCAGACAGTCTCTACCCCTGTGTATCGGCCGCTTCTGTATGCGCAAAGGTTACCCGTGATGTTGCGCTTGAGGTTCTCTACAAGGGGCGAGCCCCTGACGCTGCGGCAGAGGGAGAGGAGGGCATGGCCTGGGGTTCAGGATATCCATCAGATGGACGGTGTGTGTCATGGATGAGATCCAACATGCACCCGGTGTTTGGATGGGGTCCCGAATGCAGGTTCAGTTGGGGCACGGCCAAGGACATGCTCGAGGCAAAGGGAAACCCAAAGGTGGAATGGCCGGTCGAAGATGACGGCGATTCCGCGCGGATGACAGACTACTTTGCGTCGGGGAACAGGGAAGAAGATGGTGATGAATTGGGGACTTGGTTTGGCAGGCCGGCTGGCCTAGAGGCGTTTTAGTATAATAGTTCAGATTGGGATTGTAAAGTATGTCTCGCTGTTTGAATGCCGCCTTGAAGGTCTTAATATCTTGCGCTGCCTACCCTTACGACGTCCACATGTATGACCGATGATATGTGAATAGGCTGCAGTAAACAACGATGGTTTGCTTACGTTTAGGTCTCATCGACATCGTCTACAGATAGCGCATTTCCATCATCATGACTGTAGAGTAGAGGTCAGCCACTGTTATGTCACAGTCCTTCAGTGAGATGGTCGGGCGTAGTCATACAGTCCCCGGCTGCGTCTAGCCAGCATCACGAACAGCCTCATTGCCCACGTTTCTTAGTATAACCATGTTCCAAGTGTTGACAAACAGCGACAAGCCAATGCTTTGCATTTGTCCACCTTCTCAGCCATGCCAATGCTGGTCATGTCACACGGTTCCTATCATTTATTGGCGTGTCTGTGTGGCATCTCATCATGCTGTCTACTTGACTCGCAATCAAGACGGACTCCCCTTAGTCTGATCATCATGTCGTTTTGACGATGAACACAGATGCACACTTTATGTACGGCTATCATGATCGATCTATTATGAAGGGCAGGAAAACACGTACCATCAATCTTCATCGCCACATGGTCGCATCTTCCGTTGGCTACTCTTCATCAAAGAGTAGATAGGCTTATTTCAAGTTTCCAATCACCGTGTTGATCAGCCATGAAAGCACTCAATACTTGATGTATTCGGTATCATTCACATTTTGGTTGTCAGAGACGTTGGCTCAGTCGTGATCGGGTACCTTCATTTGAACATCAATTGTCACTTGCGCTTCTTTGCTGAACACTTCATGTTCAATACGTGTAATAAGCGATATTCACACCAGCTTATGGAATGCCTGTTCACATTCTCTGTCTTATCAGTAAGGAATCGGCCAGGCCAGCAGGCCCCTCCCTCTCCATCAGTCATTTGACTGTGGCAAGTTTACAAGAAGTCTTTCACTCGGTCCTTGGGGATTAAACAGCTACGGAAAGCATCGAAGCAGAATTACGATGTTTGGAATGTTCCCTGCTCACAAAGAGGGCATTTTGGGGTAGCGGTAAACTGATGATACTTACCACCAGGATGTATGACGAGGAAGCCAGCATAATATGGCAATCATTAACTCAGGCATTGTGACATGGATAGGAAACCTACGTGACATACAGCTGTCTAGGAATGATTGTTCGAAATCTCAAAAGACCTACGCAAGCCGAAGTCGCGTTCTCCTTTCAGCAGAATCACCGGGCGGTAAAGGCACTGTTCACGTACAAAGAGCTTCACAGTTGGCGAAGAAGCGCACGTCTGAACCCGCACGAGATCTTATAGAGGCAAGCTAAGGCGACTACTCAAGACATATAATCGGAGGCAATCTTTCCCGTATCGACTATGCGTGACCTGTCCACGATATACTCTACCAGACGTGTTCACCCTTTGCGCTACTAGCGTTTCCAAATCAATACGCTTTACTCGCCACCAATCCGTCAACAAAACACTTTTAAAAGAGCCAGTCGTCGCTTTGTTTCCGCGCTTGACTCTGAACTTACTTCCTTGCCGGAAGCTTCATCATGTCGTTGCCTAAGACCCCTGTTGGAGCCAGAATCAGAAATTTTTGGATCCCAAGTGAGCATGCGTCACTTGACGACACGGCAGGCAACCACATGATGCTGGATGAGGGCACTGCCGGAATAGTTCGGAACCCTGCCAAAAAGACAAAAAACCGCTATCTAGAGTTTGAGGTTTACGATCGGGAGGACACTCTCTGGGGATTTTATTACAACCCCAAAAAGTTCAAGGACCCTGCCATCGTTTCTGAGGACTTCCTCAAAATAGTCACTCTCCCGGCGTCAGGTTCTTTTACGAAAGTTAACAAGCCGACCCCGGTCGCGAAGGCCGACGAAAGTATCGAGATGCCGGTTGAACACCTTCTCGTCACATTCTTCGACTCGTGTAAAATTCGTAATGATGATCTAGATCTTGCCGGGGTGAGTCTTCGTCAGCTTGACATGTTGAAACAGCCAAAGAAAATCACGAGCATCGCGGGGAAGATGGTTCAAGGTTAGTGGACGAAGTAACTTGTGACGAGAACATGAGATCTTGAGAGTAACGCTAGGTCTCGAGAAGATGGGAACTCTTAATTTGTTTCGAAATGGAATGCCTAGCCTCAAGGAAATCATATCGAGGGCTACCGAGGTCGATAGACTCCCTGCTGAGGAGAGAAACAACTTAGACAACGAGCACGCACTCTGAATCACTGTCCACCACGGGAGGGACGACTCTTCTTCGGAAAATTTCAGAACCCATTGCTTCTGGAAGATGAGCACGAAGGGAACTGAATACGTGAACAGCCAACGACAGAAGATCGAGTCCACGATGCCATCCCCTTATTCAGTCAATCATTACGAGTATATGAAGAGCTTCCTCAAGAAACACAAAGGAAAATGGGCCATCTATCCTATCGCCAAGATGGAGAAGCCTGACCCCTCTGACGACCCATCATGGCATGCTTGGGCAGAACAGGCAATGATTGCTCTATACGATGCCTATCATCCAGGCATGCGAGATATGTCTTGGGAGGGCTTCAATAACCCCGTCACCTGTTTGCCGGGTCAGGTCGCTAGTATCTTTACAAAAATCGCTGCGTCAGTGACGAAATTGGAAGCATTTTCTTCATTCGCGAGACCCCGCTTCAAAGCTAGCCCTGGCCCAGAGAGTGGCCTCAATTGGAACAGTCCAGTCTTGGAGTTGTATCGTGTCGCAAATCGCCTTTGGACGGGGCCAGAAAGAATCCGTCATGAGGATGGTCCATCTTGCTGGCTCTACAACGGAACGCCGTGCAGAGTGGAAGACAACGGTAATGTCAAGGATCTCGATAGACTCGCCGTCACCTTTTGTACACGCCCAATGCCAGAAGGCGTACGAGGCACGAAGGAAACCATTCAGCGCCTCCGTCTTCCTTTGAGAAAGAATGATGGCGGCGAATGGAAAGTCAAGGACGGCGACTACGTGATTCCCGCGGTCGAGATTGCAATTTTGTCGACGGGTAATCGCCATCCTTGTGCATACGAGAAATTTTCTGGCGTCGGTCTATTCGACAACTTCAAGGAAGTGTTTAGAGTTGCCTGTCGCATTGAGTATACGAATGCAGACGGAAACCTCGATACTCGATACTTGACACAGGAATCAGCAGTTTCACTGCCAGATCTCTCAAGATCCACGGTACGAAAGAACAAAGAGACGCTATGGAAGGGAGTTGGGCCCAGGCAACGTCCATCCTCGCGACATTTGTAAAGAAGTGAAAAATGGGACCCGAAAGTGTCCCAAGCACCCTCATAGACGGGTGACCGATCAAGCTTCGCAAAGTCGCACCCAATTTCTTCACAGAGGGACTGAAGGTTTTCACTCCCGAGAATACTCCCGAGAAAGAAGAATCGGACCGGCCCAGACTGCTTTCCGGCAAAGAGAAAAGGGAATTACCTGACGGGAGGAGTGGTTTTGAAACTCGGTGGTATTCCACGAGCATAACGACTTGGCAGCAGCCATTCGTTATCAAGGAAAAAAGCACTTCTCAAGCTTCAGAGGCTGGTCAAACGGAGAAAGCAGGCGATGGAAATGTCAAGTGCAAGGAGCCGCGTCGTTTCGTTTACGACTCAACGGCGGCTCTTAATCCCGAGGAGGATATTTAGGACGAAAGAAAGGACCAGACCGATTGGGGGATATGCGACATCGCTGATTAGCAGAGGCCGCTCTCGCGCTTTGAGGTCAATTATATAGTCCCCTCGCGCGTTGGGTACACTTTGCAATCGAATGTGCTTGTAAAACTCACTAGTTCGAGTACTTAGTTGAATCTATTCGTTTCAAGAACTCGACTGAAATGCATTTGCGGGACTGCAGTCATTTGTACCCGAACAGCCGTCCGGGCTGTGGTCATCTTGAGGTTCCGAGCCCGATTGGAAACCCACTTGTTACGGGATCCTCCTTTGGTCAGGGCCGGCCGGTCGGCCGGGTAAGTGGGGTCATTTCCGATTGTCACAGCTTTTGATAGACCATCTCTACGGAGTACACAGTATCCGTGCATTCATTACCTACCTTACCTTAGGTACCTTTGCCATTCCTACTAATGTCGGCGGAATTTCTGTCTTTGCCTCCGCCTTTGGTTGCTTAGTCGTTGTTGGGTACTGCCATCAGTGGGAGCATCAGGTACGAATACGTACCAAGAAAATGAGAAACAGAAATAGCCTAGAGGTACGAGATGGGACCATAGCAGTAGGAGGAACAGAAGAAGAAAAACCCGCAATGGTGGGTTTCATTGGGCTGCCATGGCAACAAAGGCTGCCCTTTGCGCACCTGCATGCAGTGTTCACCACCTCACCCACCACCAATCCGAAGAATAATTGCGATAGCAGCCTGATTTCCCAAATCAATTCCTTTTGCCTAGCTGTACGGAGTATTAGTCTGCCTGAATGTTCTTGTGAATGCTGCAGTCCCTTGCATCCCTTCTCACTTTCGCCGCCGCATTTCTTGGCGCTCACAACCCAACCGACATTGATCGCACCTTCTGTTGATTTCGATTGTCGCCTCTCGGTTGCTTGAGATCGAGGGGTCTGACTAAGGTCCAGAAAGGCCCCAGAAAGGAGATTCGAGATGAGTGTGGTGGATAATAGATGCTTCATGAAGAGTCGCTGGGTCCGGTCGCTGGGCCACGCAGTGACCCAGCTGCGTGGCCCAGTCTGGATGATATCACCTCACCAGCGATGGAAATTCTCTTTTCTGGAGCGGTGTGGATTCGTGGACGAGAGGGGAAAAGTAGAGGATACCTACACAGACCAGTTTTAAGGCGTGCATGGGAGCCAAGCCAGGGTACTGCGACAAGGGGCGCAAACGGGCTGCCCCTCCATAGACCTCATGGAAGGTTATGATGTCAGCGAATCGCCTTTCGCAGAATCTTTCTCTCGTCGCTGGAATCGCCTTGCGAAGCGCTGGGGAATTGCCTCGAATCCTGGAAAACTGGAAACTTTGCCTCCTGGAGAGGCTGAAAAGGCCCTAGTCCCGAATTAATCCTTGTAGGGGTTGGTAGAAAATTTCAGGCGTGTTCGAGAGGCTCCTGGAAGTGTCCCCAGCTGGGCCGCAGCGATTGTGGTACCCCACCAATTGAGGGTAGGTGGAAGAGGAAAGAACCATTTCGAATTTTTGCGGGGCACTGAGTCGCTCCTGCCTCCTACCTGCCGTCTACCTTTTAAGAATCCAAACACCAACTCTTCGCATCTCCTGTCTCTTCACTCTTCACGAAATCCAATCCTCTTCTTAATACCCATCAAAAATCAGAAGTGTCCAGCGCATTTCTTTTTTCACCGAATTCTTGATCGCTGATATCAACTCTACCGGAACACAACTTCTCCCGGTTACGCGCACGAAGATACCCCTCCTTCACACGCAAATTCTAAAAACACCACAACTCTTCTTCCACACACCACAACCGTCACAATGGCTTCCGGAGGCAAGGCTGTCGGTATCGACTTGGGTACCACCTACTCGTAAGTTACTCTCCTTTTTGCGCTCTTTTCTCGTTCTCAGCGTGCCTTCCCGCCGCCTATATTCCACCACCACTCCATATGGTCACAACATATACTAACAGTAATTAGATGCGTCGCATACTACTCCAACGACAAGATTGAAATCATTGCAAACGACCAGGGAAACAGGACAACTCCGAGTTTTGGTACGAATTCTGGAATTGCCGTCGAATTGGTGATCTTTTGCTAACTTTTTCCGCAGTTGGTTTCACCGACACTGAGCGTCTGATCGGAGATGCGGCCAAGAACCAGGTCGCCATGAACCCCCACAACACGGTCTTCGATGCCAAGCGTCTCATCGGCCGCAAGTTCCAGGACTCCGAGGTCCAGGCCGATATGAAGCACTTCCCCTTCAAGGTCATCGAGAAGGGCGGCAAGCCCAACATCGAGGTCGAGTTCAAGGGCGAGACCAAGACCTTCACTCCCGAGGAGATCTCCGCCATGGTCCTGACCAAGATGCGTGAGACTGCTGAGTCTTTCCTCGGCGGCCAGGTCAACAATGCTGGTAAGTTACACATGTCCCAACATCACCTGAGAGTCACAAACTAACTTGTCTCAGTCGTCACTGTTCCCGCCTACTTCAACGACTCCCAGCGTCAGGCTACCAAGGACGCCGGTCTCATTGCCGGCCTCAACGTCCTTCGTATCATCAACGAGCCTACCGCTGCCGCCATTGCCTACGGTCTTGACAAGAAGGCTGAGGGTGAGCGCAACGTTCTCATCTTCGATCTTGGTGGTGGTACTTTCGATGTGTCTCTCTTGACCATTGAGGAGGGCATTTTCGAGGTCAAGTCCACCGCTGGTGACACTCACTTGGGTGGTGAGGACTTCGACAACCGCCTTGTCAACCACTTTGTCAACGAGTTCAAGCGCAAGCACAAGAAGGACCTGTCCTCCAACGCCCGCGCTCTGCGCCGTCTCCGCACTGCTTGCGAGCGTGCCAAGCGCACCCTGTCCTCGTCTGCCCAGACCTCCATCGAGATCGACTCCCTGTTCGAGGGTATCGACTTCTACACCTCCATCACCCGTGCTCGCTTCGAGGAGCTTTGCCAGGACCTGTTCCGCTCTACCATCCAGCCCGTCGACCGTGTCCTCACCGACGCCAAGGTCGACAAGTCCCAGGTCCACGAGATCGTCCTGGTCGGAGGTTCCACCCGTATCCCCCGTGTCCAGAAGCTCATCTCCGACTACTTCAACGGCAAGGAGCCCAACAAGTCCATCAACCCCGATGAGGCTGTTGCCTACGGTGCTGCCGTCCAGGCCGCCATTCTGTCCGGTGACACCTCCTCCAAGAGCACCAACGAGATCCTTCTTCTCGATGTTGCCCCTCTGTCCCTCGGTATCGAGACTGCTGGTGGCATGATGACCAAGCTCATTCCCCGCAACACCACCATTCCCACCAAGAAGTCCGAGGTCTTCTCCACCTTCTCCGACAACCAGCCCGGTGTCCTCATCCAGGTCTACGAGGGTGAGCGCCAGCGCACCAAGGACAACAACCTTCTCGGCAAGTTCGAGCTTACCGGCATTCCCCCCGCTCCCCGCGGTGTTCCCCAGATTGAGGTCACCTTCGACCTTGACGCCAACGGAATCATGAACGTCTCCGCTGTCGAGAAGGGTACCGGCAAGTCCAACAAGATTGTCATCACCAACGACAAGGGCCGTCTTTCCAAGGAGGACATTGAGCGCATGCTTGCTGAGGCCGAGAAGTTCAAGGATGAGGATGAGGCCGAGGCCCAGCGTGTCTCTGCCAAGAACGGTCTCGAGTCTTACGCCTACTCCCTCCGCAACACCCTCAGCGACTCCAAGGTCGACGAGAAGCTTGAGGCTGACGACAAGGAGAAGCTCAAGACTGAGATCGACACCATCGTCACCTGGCTCGACGAGAACCAGCAGGCTACTCGCGAGGAGTACGAGGAGCGCCAGAAGGAGCTCGAGGGCATTGCCAACCCCATCATGATGAAGTTCTACGGCTCTGCTGGCGGTCCTCCCGGTGCTGGCGGTGCCCCTGGCGGCTTCCCCGGTGCCCCCGGCGGCGCTCCCCCCGGCAACCACGACGACGGCCCTACCGTCGAGGAGGTTGACTAAATTGATACCCTTGATGAATTCTTTCCTTAGAGTCCGAGTCATGGGTGTGGCACCGCATCGGCTGCCACTGGGTTTCACGACTAGACTTTTGCTTTCTTTGCATTTATGAAATCACGATGGGAAAAGCACGGTTATGGGTCAGAGATGTATTCTAGCTAGACTCCGCGGTTTAGGAAGTCTAATACAAAACAGTAAAATTACTTGTTCATTCATTCATGCTTGTGATGTTATACTCGAATACTTCCCCATAATTATACTACTCAATCATGAATGGAAAATGTAGTGGTTGTAGTTAAAGGGCTTCATTTGGCCCGGCCGCAAAAATGTGAGAAGAGATGGATCCTTATTGTACAATTGTATCATGCTGCTGGTTCGATGCCGAGCCCCTGCCTAATCTGCTTCCGCCTCTCAATCTCCATCCTCTGCCACTCCTCGTCATTAATTGTGGGTTCCTCCAAACTCTCCGTAAATGCCATGCCCGGTGGGACCTTGGTGGTCCTTGCCTGCCAGACGTCCTCACTACTTGGCTTGCCATTTCCATACTTTTCAAACTCCTTCTGACGATAATGGTCTCTTATGGCATCCTCCTTCATCTTCCCCGAGTAACTCTTGATCCTCATGCAGAACCAAAAGTCCTCCCAGTGTTCGCTGCAAGAGCGCATCGTGCCGTATCGGTAAATGCTGTTCCACTGGCCGCCGACAGACTGGCAGTGAAAGGCCATGTCAAACGCTTGGCGGCAAGACATCTCTGTCGGAAGGGTGGACTCAGCCACGGGATTGTCGGAGGGTGGCGTGATTGCGCGGTTGCTGGTTTGAGAGGGGGAATCGGGTGAAGATTTGAGGGAGAACCATGATGAAGACGATGATGACTTGGACGGTGGGGAGGATGATTGTGCTGGCGCTGACGCCTTTTCTTCTGGCTGACTGCCCGATTCGGTCTGGAAAAGGGCGAGGAACTTTGCAATCTCGGGATCGATCTCGGAGTCAGTCGTCTTAGTCGAGGATGGCGGGGTCGGCGCGGGAGCCTGTGAAGCTTGTCCCGGGGCGGGAGTCTTGGGGGGAGATGGTGAAGCCCAGAGCCAGCCCATTTCGAAAAATCGTTGGTTAAAAACAGAAGAGAGCGTAAAGAATCGGGCAAAGTCCCAAGGTGATATCGTCTTGGGCAGGTCGGACGCAATCGAGAATGAGGGGAAGTCGGCAACCGTTACCATCAATGACCTCCAAGACGCCGCGTCTAGCCAATGAGTGGTTGCATGATTTTTGCCATAGCTGCGCGTGCTCTACCTAGTGGGGCGTCGTCGGTTCGGATAAGATATCGTCCGTTTCGAAACTTAAGGTTATGGGGCGCGTTGGACCGCGCGGGCCTTCAAGTGGGGCCGCAAAGCGTGACATCATCCCACGCGAACACCGGGGCTGACTTTCTCGTGAAGGAGCTAAGCAGCTCTGGTAAGGTGAGGTGAGGCAGGCAAGCTAGTCGGCTGCCTTGATTCTCTTCCATTGCCTTCCATCCAACTGTTCTCAACGTCCCGTCCTCAAACTCAATTCCACCACTCGCTGTCAAAGCAACATGTGAGTCTGCATCGACATCCATCCAATGTTACCTACTAGAGCGCTGCTTCGCTCCGGCATGAGGCCTCCGCCTCGGCTGCAGATGACATGGGGCCTGCCCCGGCCAATTGCTCAATCCCAGCGACATGGAGCTATCGTGTGCGCCGCGTCCAAAGCATGGGAGAGTACCGTAACCGGCGACGAGAAATCCGGGCATATCGCCACTTCGGAGAGCGAATCCATTCTCTTCTTTGACAGTAAGATTTCTGGTCACCCCTTCTCTCAGCCGAGTCATTCCTGCATCTGACCCAGGACCTCGCGCCCCGGGTTTAGTCCCTACCCTCTCCCAATTTTGGCCTCCTCCGAGCATCAAGTGCCGTATCGATGCTCTTCACTGTCTCCGTTTCTCTCCTTGACCACATCCCCTGCTGTCTTCCCACTCACGGTCTTGTCCTCTTCACCCCCCACCTTTGTGCCTCTTGTTCAATGTCCATCTCGGCCAGCGCGCTGGCGCGAGGAAACAATACTGACAATAGCTGGTAGACCTCTTTCCTCTCAAGCTCACCTACCTCCTCCGACGGTCATGGCAGTCAGACCGTGACCTGACCGACCTTCTCAAGCGCTTCGATAGCTCTGGCGGAGGCCTTGGCACCGATCCAATCAACCTAGTAAAACGAGCGATCCCCGACGATCTCCCAATCAAAGTCACAGAGATCCTACCGCGACTCAAGGACGGAGGAGCTTTTGTAAAATTCAGCCATGGCTCCGACGTTGTACCAAAAGATATTGAGAGTGAGTTTGAACTTCGTTCTAGTCCGCAATGACGGCTTCGTCGCTGTTTAAACTGAGTCTCCTCAACTCGTGTCAATGCCTGACTAACACTCATAAGCATCTCTCGCTCGTTCGTTGGAGAAACATCCCCTCAGACCATGGTTCAACCCCTTTCGTGGGGTTCAGGCAGGATTGGTCAAGGGAGTTCCTTGGCTAGAGGATCTCTACCGCTTTCCCAAAAGTCGTGTCAAGGTCGAATTCACAGGAAAAGATGCAGGTGGCGAGGCCGTTGAACTCTCACAGGAGACCCTCTACAGTCTGTTTCGCAGATACGGTAAAATTGCCGAGATAACTTCACAGCCTTCCGACTCGAAGGTTCTCCCAAAGTATGCATACATCGACTTTGCGCGCGTCCGCGACGCCATCATGGCGAGAAATTGTCTTCATGGATTCCTGGTTGACGAAGGTCTTGGTGGCGGAAAGATTGGCACAAGGCTTCGCCTATCCTATGAGCAAAAGGTCAAACCGCACAACATCTGGAACTGGCTCACTAGCCATCCTAGGGTGGTAATTCCCGTCGTTGCCGCCCTCCTTGCTGCCATCACAGTGGCCATCTTCGACCCCATACGCGAATTCTTCGTCAAGGCCCACATCCAACATTCTTTCCGACTGAGCAACAACAAATTCTACCGATGGATCAAGAGCCAGACTTCCGACATTTTCTCCTCATTTGGGCACAAGAAGGCTGACAAGGCCGGGTTCAGTGCAGTTTGGCAGCATCGCCGAGACCTTATCGAGCAGATCCAGACTTGGCTCCTTGAGAGCTCCGACACTTTCATCGTTGTTCAGGGCCCTCGGGGTTCAGGCAAAAAGGAGCTCGTCTTGGACCAGTCACTCAAGGGTAGGAAAAATGTTTTGGTGATCGACTGCAAGCCGATCATCGAGGCAAGGGGCGAAAGTGGAACCATCAAACACCTAGCTGCCGCCGTGGGCTATAAGCCGATCTTCGCTTTCTTGAACAGCATGAGCAGCATGATCGATTTGGCAGTTCAGAGCACGACTGGGGTCAAGGCTGGCTTTTCCGAGACACTGGAGTCGCAGGTGGTCAAAATCCTTCACACAACCGCAGAGGCCCTAAAGGAAGTCTCCCTCGCCGGGCGCGACAAGGATGGCAAGGATGGCGACCTTTCAGACGACGCATACTTGGAGGCCCGTCCAGACAAGCGGGCTGTTGTGGTCATTGATAACTTTTTGCACAAGAACGAAGGCTCAAGCCTGGTCTACGACAAGGTTGCGGAATGGGCTGCGGCAATGGTTCAGAACAATGTTGCCCACGTCATCTTCTTGACAGACGACACCTCCTACTCAAAATCGCTATCGAAGGCGATGCCGGATCGCGTCTTCCGCCAAGCTGCTTTGGGTGATCTCTCCCTTGATGTTGCCAAGAAATTCATCATCAGCCGTCTCGAAGAGGACGAAATTGAAAAGGTCCGAGAACAGTCCAAGGAGGCAGAGGAGAAGGAGGATAAGCCCGAGCAACACCGAAAACCCGATCTCTCGGAGCTGGACTCGGCAATTGGAATCCTCGGTGGCCGTCTCACAGATCTCGAATACCTCGCTAGACGACTAAAGGGTGGCCAAAGCCCCCAGCGCGCCATTGAAGATATCATCAACCAGAGCGCCACTGAAATCGTCAAGATGTACCTTTTAGGTGGCAAGGATACTGTCGAGGGCAAGAAATGGTCCACCGAGCAGGCGTGGTATTTGATCAAGGCGCTTGCTTCTCACGATGCTCTTCGATACAACGAGGTTCTCCTGTCCGATACATTCGCCTCTTCCACCACCCCTGGCGCCGCGAACGGGGAGTCAGCCTTAGAAGGACTTACAAATGCAGAGCTCGTTACGGTAGAGACCTACAACGGCCGGCCGCAAACGATCCGCCCAGGAAAGCCAATGTACCAAGCAGCATTCAGTCTTCTGCTTGACGACCGTGTTCTCAGGGCCAAAATGGACTTGGCCCTTCTGAAAGAGCTTGCGAAGGTTGAGGCGAAAGTCATCGAAAAGGCCGAGGGAGAGCTGGCGCTATTGGGCAGCCTGCCAAAACAGCCTGCTCAAACCGGGTCTCGGGTGGCGTACCTACTCGAAAAGCTCGAGGGCAGCCAAGTCAAGATCACAAAGTATGAGAAGGAGATTGCAGCTCTCAAAACGGTTCTCAAGCACAACTACTAAGGCTTCATTGTTCGGGGGCCTACGCTCTCTATCAAACCCAGGCAGAGAACGACCGACGATGATATACGGTGGTCGATACCCTTCTCAATATTCAAGTAATACTAGAGCCCTCGGCCTCGCCCAGAAATGCGCCTGTACAATATACCAGTCCTTGCTCTGTTGTCATTTATATCTGGCGCGGCTATTTGAGGTACTCAAGTCCAAGCTTGGAATCCGTGATGTACCCAGATGAGCGATCTTCCCTTATATAGGTTAAAATGTCTGGTCAAAAAGAGGGTTACTAATTTCTCATCCACAACATCGCTTCTTAAGGAAACACCGACTGCTTTGAGAATTTTCCGAAATTCCATTCACTTGGGTGCTCAGATGCTATTCCACACTTGTAATCCGTTCCTGGGTATCTTGAGGTAAGTAAGAAAGGGATCCATGATGTGAACAATGAGTGGAAAGCAGGCGTGCTGTAACTTTTAATGGGTCCTGTCATTATGGACCATGGAGTCCTGGAACTTGCGGACAATGAGACGCTTGGCATCGAAGACCACAGTGTTACGGGGGTTCATGGCGACCTGGTTCTTGGCGGCACCTACGATAAGAAAGCTGCTCATGATCCTCAGTGTCGGTGAAACCAACTGCGAAAAAAGTTGGCAAAATGTCAGCAATTCAACAGCAATTCAGATTCGGTACGTACCGAAACTCGGAGTTGGAACACCTCAAAAAAAGAAAAAAATCGTGGCCTCCGGTCATGAATGTTTGCAGCATATCATTGCAGGAGAATAACCCCAGCATTGCTAGGTAGGCTCAGTCCTCAGATATGAAGGTGGATTTCCTAGAAGATCAAGGACGCAGTGGCAGGTCTTCCAGTAGCACAGATGGAGTAAAGGCACTGTAGACACTACAAGGGCGTCCCCAGAGCAGAAAACAGGACACGCACTCGCGAATCAGCTTGTAATACAATTGCAACGTCTGTTTTTTCGAAGGCAGTCAGACTGAACAATATCTTAGACTCCGCATCATCTTCGCCTGCTGGAGGAAGCGCCGCGGGGATGAAGGTGGGCAAACGCCTCCACAGCCTTTTGGAGAAACGCATAGAAATACCTCCACCAGCCCCGCGGGGTTCATTAGGGGTCCCTCGAAAATGACCATTGTACTGGTTGACAGTGTCAGGACAACACGACTCAGACCTCACCTATCGACCGGGAACTTGGCCGAAGGACATAAAGGTGCAAAGTCGTCCTTGGAACAAACCCCGGTCACAAGGTCATGTGCTTGCGGTGCTATCAGTCAGCCAAGAACCCAACCCAATCAATCGAGGGTAATGCTTCTCTGGAGAGCTGCATCCTCCAGCAAGGGTGCAGAGGAAAGCGATCATCGGCCCTATAGCCCAATGCGACAGCCCAAGCTTTTGCGGACGACGATACAAGCATTTTAGAGGGCTGGGCACTTTCTCGGCAATGCTGGGCATTGCGGGCGGCTCTCTAGCACAATTTCTTGGCTACGACTCTAGCCGACGACACTTCATCAATTCGCGATTCGTGATTTAACAAGACGATTCAACTAAGACGAGATTTCTCCTGTCAAAAAATGCGCCACAAATCCACCAAAAAATCACGCAGCCTTTTCGCCGTCTTTTGTCGGTACTATGAAACTCCAGGGACGGATTTACACGAGCTGTTGCCGACTTGGCCCCACCAAATCCTCTGTGCCTTCATACTATGGCACCATGTCTACAGTCTAAGTACCTAGAAAGCCATTCGGTTGGTTTCCAAGTGGAGATGTCGTTAACTGGTCTGCCAAAAAGACCAATGGCAAGCATACCGCCTCCAGACGGTGACGTCTTCATGCTGGCGTCGAAATGAGGAGTCGATTTATCCTGGTCGAGCGTGCTCTCTTTTTTGTCCTCTCCCCTTCCAACCATCTTTGGGTATGGAGAACGCATTTTCCGTGCCCCAAACCCCGCAAACCCGGAGTCAAGAAAGCGTACCCGGTTTATTTTCTGTCACCTCTAGATTCTCGGAGCGTAAGCAGAAAGATGCAATGGCGACCTCACCTCACGGTTGCAGAAGCCACACGAACTTTGATCTCGACTAGGACGTCAATCTCACCGTTCTTGGCGTTTTCGACGAGATCTCTTGTCCTGTCTTGGCTTTTCCCAAATTCCCCGAGATAAGTGGCGGCATCTCCAAGCCTCCAACGACAGAATCCACAAATGATCCCGCCTCGAAGCGTTCCCCCCGGTCGATAGCCTACCCCGGAAACGGCGCTACTCTCCAAACATAGTGGGATCGGCAATTGGATAGCATCTCATCTGACAACGCCATTCCCGTCTTGCGCCGCACAGTAGCCCGCTCGCTCGTTTACCTCGCATGTTTACGACAAGGGCAATTAAGACGGTCAACCTTCTCGGATGTGCTTGAGTCTTGCACTCAAATGTACTTCTGACGGTATCCGTCCCACAGGGTCCCACGTTTTAATTACGTCTTGTCTTGAATGGCCAGGGTTCCTGCCCTTATCTCTTGCTACACGGACGTTCCCACACAACGTGTGTTGCGTGTGCTAGGAGTCAACCGCCGGGACGTGCTTTTCCTGGGGAGGAAGTGAGAAGCAAGATCAGTCTGGGGAAAGCCATGGGTTTTAGACTGAAGGATACGGCTAGAGAGCAACGGACCCTCAGAACCATGAATCCGTTCAGTCGAAGACGGGACCGTTAACGGCCAAGGCTGATCCGAAGAGCTTAGCTTTTGCTTTCGACTTTGCTGCCTGCGGCGTCTAGCAGCCGGTATCATATTGTGCCGATCTCTGCCCAATTCCCCCAAAACAGAGGAGCGCTACCAAGGCGCCGGGCTTTGGTCCGCAGAACTCACTTCGAATGACAGCCACTGCTGGTGGAGATGTCAAATGTCGCACAACCCAGATGCGCCCTTGCGGAGCATCGTTACATCTCTTTCGACCGGTAGCCCAATTAGACACGGGAATCCAGACGATGGGCCATGCAAGGCCGAACTCGCGAACCATGTAGTCTAGTATGCTCTCCGCTGCCTTGGTCAGGCCAAGAGAGAGCCGCCACTGTCATGGTACCCAGTCGTGCCATTCACATACACCACGCGCGCGTGAGGGGAAATTATTTGCTCCATGGCCCATCTGAAGAATAGCTACCATCTCCCTGCCCCCCAAACCCCAGCGAATCCACTTTCAAAGGTTTGGACTTTCCCCATGGGTCGCCCCATTGTGGATCACCTCTGGATGCTCGTACGCTGTGGTCTAGTCCCATTGACACGAGAGAGGGAGGAACAAAGCCGGTCTACCTAGTTCGCGTTGATAGACGCCTTCGAGCTGCCGTTCTTGACTTGCGGGGGAAGGTGGTTGCGCCGATCTGGTCTCCGTGAACCTTGTGCAGAGGTTGGGATGAGAAGGTGTCTATGGGTGAGATACAAATACCAGGCAGCGCCCATCCCATGCTTTCCCGGTTTCCCCCTCTCCTCGTCCGAGCCCTGTCTTTGAGTTAGATGATCACTCTCGGATTTTAAGGCGCAATCTATCGTAGAGACTTGATTGTCATCTTGTGATAGACCAAGAGTATAGAGCTCGAAACACTCACACTTCAACCAAGAAGCCATCAAGCATTGAGTCGTCGATAGTACTCAACGCGCCGCAACAATGGCGGACGACAAACACCTAGACGGAGCCGCGGTGTAAGCCTTACTCACTTACAATGAATCTTCAAACTTCAACTAACACGCCCAGCTCGGGCGACTTTTCCAACATGGAGAAAGCCCGTCGCGGATCCCAAGCAACAGTAGACCTAAACGACAACGTCGACGCAAAGTCCGTCCTCCGCCTCCAGTTCCCTCAGTTGAACGTAAACTAACTACCCACCCAACAGAATCAGGAACCCCCTCCTCGGCATCACCCGCGCCGAGCTTCTCCGCGACGTCGAAGCCTTTGCCCACGACAAGGGCCTGCAAGAATACATACCCGTCTTGAAAAAGGGCGCCCTCGTCGCCCAGGACCCGACGGGCTACGAAGAGATTGACGGCCCCGAGGCCCTCGACGCCACCGAGATCCAGGTCCTCCGCGACGAGATCGAGCATAAGTGGCGCATCCCTAAGATCCTGTACCTCACCATCATCACCTGCTCCATCGGCGCCGCTGTCCAGGGATGGGATCAGACGGGTAGCAACGGCGCGAATCTGTCGTTTCCCACGGTGTTTGGGATTGGGGGTACCTCGCACCATGATACTCTCCTTGTACGTCTCACTCACTCACTCGCAAGCCATGTTCTTGGTATCATCACATGCTAACACTCTCAAAAGGTCGGCCTCGTCAACGCGGCGCCATACATCGGCAGCGCCCTCATCGGCTGCTGGCTCTCAGACCCGCTCAACAACTTCTTCGGCCGCCGCGGCGCAATCTTCTTCGCCGCCAACTTTTGCCTCTGGCCCGTCATCGGTAGCGCCTTCTCCCAGACCTGGCCGCAGCTGCTCGGCTGCCGTATCCTCCTCGGTATCGGCATGGGAGCGAAAGCCAGCACGGTGCCCATCTTCGCCGCCGAGAACTCGCCCGCGCCGATTCGCGGCGCTCTCGTCATGACGTGGCGTGAGTACCACCCTCTCCCCCATTTTGATATAGATATCATGACGAGAGTCATGTGTATAGTTCCTGCTGTATGCTGACCGCGGCATCAACAGAACTCTGGACAGCCTTCGGCATCGCAGCCGGAACGGCAGCCAACCTCGCCGTCGCCAAGACCGGCGCCATCGCCTGGCGCCTCCAGCTCGGGTCCGCCTTCATCCCGGCCCTGCCGCTCGTGCTGCTCATCTACATCTGCCCAGAGTCCCCGCGCTGGTACATCAAGAAGAACCGCTTCCCCGACGCCATGAAGTCGCTGCTGCGGCTGCGCAACCACCCGATCCAGGCCGCGCGCGACATCTATTACATCCACACCCAGCTCCAGGTCGAGGCCGAGATTGTCGGGCGGTCCAACTACGCGAAGCGCTTTGTCGAGTTGTTCACCATTCCACGTATTAGACGGTGAGTGATGATGCCACAAATATAATGAGACGAAGAAAGAGTTTGTGTGAGATTCATCGAGTATCGAAACTGACGTTTGTGATCTGGTGCAGTGCCACGCTGGCTTCCTTCACCGTCATGATTGCCCAGCAAATGTGTGGTAAGTCGCGACCCCGAACTTGAATACCTCTCGATCATTACTCACCAGCGGACAGGAATCAACATCATCGCCTTCTACTCGAGCACAATCTTCAAGGAGGCCGGCACATCAGAGTACAACGCCCTCCTCGCCTCCTTCGGCTTCGGCATGGTCAACTTCCTCTTCGCCTGGCCCGCCATCTGGACCATCGACACCTTTGGCCGCCGCTCCCTCCTCCTCTTCACCTTCCCCCAGATGGCGTGGACGCTGCTCGCGGCGGGTCTCTGCACGCTCATCCCGGGCACCGGAGGCGCTCACCTGGGCCTCGTGGCGTTATTCGTCTACCTCTTTGCCGGTACGTCCTTCTCATCTCACTCTGCATGCACATATCAAGAAGAAAAAAAAACACTAACAAAGTCACAGCATTCTACTCACCAGGCGAAGGCCCCGTCCCCTTCACCTACTCCGCCGAGGTCTTCCCCCTCTCCCACCGCGAGGTAGGAATGTCCTGGGCCGTAGCGACCTGCCTCTTCTGGGCCGCCGTCCTCTCCATCAGCTTCCCCATCATGCTCGCCGACCTCGGCGTCGTGGGCTCCTTCAGCTTCTACGCGGGCCTCAACGTCGTCGCCCTCGTCATGATCTTCTTCTGGCTCCCGGAGACCAAACAGCGCACCCTCGAGGAGCTGGACTACGTCTTCGCGGTCCCCACCCGCGTCTTCATGCGCTACCAGCTCACAGAGGCCCTGCCCTACTGGTTCAGGCGCTGGGTCCTCTTCCAGAGGGACGCCACGCTGGAGCCGCTGTACAAGTTTGACCTCACGCACGAGGATCACCACGGGAGCGAGACGTACGAGAAGACGCAGGTCGAGCAGCGGGATCAGAAGAGGAGCGGCTCGGCTACCGGCGTAGACGTCACTGCTTCGTAAACGGATGGGGGGCGGCCGAGCCGAGGTACGAGATAGAACTTGTAGACGAAAGACCTAAACGCGGTGGAGAG